CATAGACGTAGGCTTGTTATGCCTTACAGAGATCCTCATTTATGCTTAAATATTTGCTCTCTTCATTATATTATTTTTTACTCTTTTTTACTCTGTTTAATCACAGTTTCACTTCACAAAACTTTTCATTAAATGTGCTCTTTCTTACAAATACAAATATGTCGAGCGATGCTTTTGTTTTCAGTTTTTTGCTGCCAGTTTTGAGGAGACAAATTTAGATTTTTGGTGAATTGTTGAGTTCATATTTAAAGCAGAGGAAGAAATCCTAAATTTGATCCATTATTTATTTATTTATTTATTTATTTGTTGTAGTTTTGTTATTTAGTGCAGTGAAATGTGAATGCAGACTGGTTGTTTTGTTGTGCACACATCTTTCACATACGTCAGAAACCAACAAGTTCTCAAGTAAATTCTCACTCCTGCTCCGACACACACACTGAGTCACACACACACGCACACACACACACACACACACACACACACACACCACACACACACACACACACACACACACACACACACACACACACACACACACACACACACACACACACACACACACACACACACACATGTTTATTGAAGAGTTAATTATGAACACAATCAGATTCTTGAATATCTTTTATTTTTCAAAATCTGTTTAATAAAAGCAGATGAACTCAGACAACAAGACAAGACAAAAAAAGAGATATTAATAACCCCAAATACATTTTCCCACTCATAGTGAGTTATGTTCAGCTCACTGTTAAACTGTTCAATCGCCTCCACCTTTTATGTTTGTCCATTTTTTCAAACATCTGGAGCTGCAGCATTTCTGCAACATTGCAAATATTTCACTGTGAAATCCGTTTTTTTTCTTTCTTTTTTGATCTTGTTTTGTTTCACTGACAGTCAAAATGTTACAACATGTTATGCAGGAAACAAAAATACAACCTTATAATAATTGCATCAACTGCTGTGAAGGACTTGTGTGTTTGATTTTCAGCAATAATTAGAAAACTTTATCTTCAGGAGAATAAACTTGTCTAGTTTTGTTTGAAATTTCTCAACAAATACAGAGTTTCAGCTCTTACATGATAAGACTGAAAAGGCCATAAGAAAACGGTTATTATCTTGTAAAGTCACTAAACCTTCCTTTGCGACTCGCGCAGAAGTAGCAACTAAACTCCTGCTCAGAGTTCGGACTGAACCGACTGACTTTCGAAGCACATAAACATCGCAGCTGGAAAAGGCAGCAGACATTCAGCTGACAGGATCCTGAGACACGAAAATACAGAAAATCACAACAAACCGAGTGCTAACTGTGCTCAGATTGTACGTTTACGGTTTTTTGCTGCAGCCTGTTAAACGTCGGAGCGCTCTGCAGACCCCTCACACACAAACAGATTCAAATGAATCAGAATGTCACAGGAAATTCACTTTAATCCAGGAAGTTTCTCACTGAGTGAAACACGTTACATTGACACCCAAACAGAGGTTTGAAAGCTTCTATTTCTGTTAATTATCACAAGTCTTCTGCTTACAGTTTATGAAAACGTGGCATTTAAAATTAGATCAAACAAATAAAATAAAAAAATATTTTTTTTAAATACAGAACTTGAGTGTTATTGTGGTCGCTACTTTCAAACATTCAGTTTGACCAAATGGCTCCAATGAAATATTCTAATTTATTGAACATGATTGTGCCGTGTAAATGAAATCAAATAATAGGTTTAATTAACAATAAAGACGGCAATGAAGGTGTTCATACTCCTCTGTTGACATTTTGCAGTCTAAAATTCTCTGCTGGTTTATTTATTTTTTTTTAAGTCTGTCTGCAGCATGTCAGATCTGTCATTAAGACTCTGGACTCGTCATAATATTCTGCATGAAATAATTGATCTTCAGCTTAGTGAGGTTTATTTTTTACCACTTGTAGCATTTTTCTCCTACTGATTGTTTTTCTGAATCCTTTCCGACAGCAGCTCTGTAAACTTTGATGAACTTTATTGTGTTATGAATAAAGTTCATCTGGCTCTAGATGAAAACTTCTGAACAGTAAGAGGCGAAACATGTCGGTGGATGTTGTCACTTCCTTCTTCTACAAACAGAGGAGTTGATTACTTTCAAAGTGGAAGCCAAGTGACAGTTTGGACGCCTGTTTCTGTGACATAAACGAGGATTTGCAGCGTTGAACTTTATCCTTTTATGTTGTTTGTGATTATGCAGAGGTAAGTATGGAAATCCAAATTTGTAAAAAGTTTCCGTAGGGATGAAATTGTGCTTCTCCTGACAGATCGCAGACCTGAACCCTCACGCTAACCTTTTGCAAAAAGCCTGAACAGCTTCAGAGTTCACGACCTTTGACAGGAGGGCAGGAAAACGTGGCTCACCCGCGCCGAGCACGCGCCTCCTCGCTTCTTACTTGTCGTCCTGGGGTTTTGGTTTAGAGTGTTTTGATCTGAGCGCAGCAGAGGGCGGAGACTGAAGACGGAAAGTATTTGAGGAAACATGAAAAGCAACTGCACATTTTGCTGCTCAGGAAAGATTGAGTTGCCGCAGACATCAAGGCTGCTTTCAGGAGAAATCCTAGTAATTACAAGTTGTTGTTTTTTTTTGTCTTATACTCTGTTCGGCTCATGAGACGTCACTGAGGACGTTGAGAAACAAGTATTTTTCCAATAAAAATAATGTATAAAACACATACTGTGCACAGGTTTAAATGAATTTCTTTCCTACCCAAAGCTTTTATTCCATCATTCAAGGATATCAACGTTTCTCTTTTATTTTTAAGCTGCAGTGATAGTTTGTGGAGTCATTTTAACCGATAAAAGACAAAACAAAAAGAAAAGGCGTTTGATATAAGACGGCGGGAGCAGCCGCTCTATCTGCTGCATAAACATAACCACTGAATAAACATAACCACATATATTAAACATATATAAAGGTGACCTTATGTATCCGGCACATTGCCCCCCATACTTGATCTAGAATTTTTTTCAATATCGGATCCAACACAGGTATTGATGTCGGATCGGTGCGTCTCTAATAACGACCGGTGTGAATTTACAGTCAAAATCAAAGCTAAAAGCGGCCGAGGAAGATCATTTCCTTCTTGTTGGGTTATGAATAAAGTTTTATTAAAGTTGTGTGGACGATTCTGAGATGGGAGAAAAGATCTGAATGCATTGAGATGCTTTCGGACCCAGAAACTCCTAAACACTCACACTCTTCTTTCAGCGTTTTCTCGATGGCTCCTTGAAAACTGTTACTAATTTTGTAGCCCAGATGTGTTCATTTAAACCTGTTCAGCTTTTTTAATGACAAAGTCAAAATGTTGCTTATTTGTGAACATTTACAATTCTAAAGAGTTCAAATTATTTCCTTTTTTTTATTTTGAAAGTCTATACTTTGGAGGTGGATTTCTGTCTTGGTGTGATATTTATTTATTTATTTATTAAAAACAGAGGAACACGACACAGGAATATAAAACAATATGAAGTGAAAAGATGCGTGTTCAAATGTAACGCTCCTTCATTTCGACTTTTAAAAAAGAGGGACAAACATTGAAAGTACTTCTTATTTGTCTCCCTCTATAATGATACACACCTGGTGTACGAGTGTGTGTATGAGTGTGTGTGTGTTTTAAATTAATATCACAGTCAGCCATTTTGTTGCGACCCCTCTGTTGTTAGCCACGTTAGCGCCGCTGCCAACCACAAACGCTCTTTTTGGGAGGTTGCTGCTCAGCCGTTTACCTCCTATTATAAAAGTTTCATTGTTCTGTTTCTTCCTGGACGATCCGGTTCCGAGAGAGTTTCAAGACGTGCTACAGTCTGGCAGAAAATGGCCAACTGTCAGGCTGAAGGCTCAGAGCTCAAATCCTGGATCTGTTACAGGAAACCTGACAGAAAACCGACTGATTATAAAAAAATATATGACGATTTCCTCTGATGAACTCATCCCTTGTTTACTTTTGAAGTTTAATATTGAGGCTGCAGACCACAGAAATGAACTCAGTTTATGTAACATTGTTGCATGAAATTCAGGATAATTGAAAGAAACTTTTTAAAGATAAAGATGATTCAGAACAAAGGAAACACACACACACACACACACACCTACACACACACGCAAACACATTAAAACTGTTTTTTCTTCTGTTAAAAATGAACATCGTTTTGCTCTCCAGATGTTATATTATCAGAACTGAAGAGAATTAGAGTTTTATAAATATCTAAATTAAACCCAAAGTGATATTTGTTGTGTCAAAGTTGTTTGTCTCAGAATTGGCTAAAAAAAAGGTTTTTTTTAACTGTGAGAGAAAAGAGAATCAAAATAAAACTACAACAGAAAACATACATTGACCTATAATTGTGTCAATTAATGAAATCGTAAAAGCAGCATGTGGAATTCAAGTGCACACACGCACACACACACCTACACATACACACACTCGCATAAAGAGAGAGATCATATGAATATTCCTCAGAACATTCAGTACAGTCATTTATTTTATTTGTTAAAAAGCAGCAATAATGTATTTGAAGTGATTGTTGCTTTTTGTGTGAATTAGACGTTAAAATTGACACATTAAGCTTCTGTGTGTTTCCACTTTATTTGAGAATAACTTTTGAGGAAAAATGTTTGCATTCATTTCTTGAGCGTGCACTCTTTGGATTGAGTTTTTGTTGTTGTTGTCTTTGTTTACCATTAAACGACGTGTGTGTGTGTGTGTGTGTGTGTGTGTGTGTGTGTGTGTGTGTGTATGTGTGTGTGTGTGTGCGTGTGTGTGTGTGTGTACACGTGTGTATTTCACTGTAAATCCTGCGAGTCAGAGGAACCCCAGTGCCAAAAACAAAAACCCCTCCCTGACAGAGAGTTTAAAACAAACTCCCTCTCATTCCTTTCTTAAATATTTTTACAGCTGATTTAAAGTTTTCTCGACAAATGTTATTTAATTTTCCATCAAAACACCATTTTACATTATTTTCCACTATTTGTGTGTGTATCATTTTTAGGGAGGAAGTCAGATGACGTCTAGCGGACAGAGACGAGACGCTTCGCCGCCGACGAAGTGGATGGTGAACCGGAGGAGAAGGGTCAAAGGTCGTTTGGTGTGAGGACGTCTTGGTATGGAGAGGTAAACGCGCGTGTCATCTGAGTCTGACTGAGCTTAAATCCTGTCTCGATGCAAGCAGAAAAATAAACGGATTCGTCTCGCAAAAGCCTTAATATTTGTTGGCAAAAACAAAAAAGTAAGAGGGAAGAGTGAAGGTGAGCGAGGAAATCCCGTTCAAGGTTCAGCCGATGGTTTCAGCTGTTAATCAAGTCTCCTGCTAACTTCAATGGAGCCGCACATTTTTGTCGAACGGAGCTAGAAAAACACTCATTAGTTTAAAAGCGCCTTTCAGTTCCTGTCAGGATGTCAGGTTTATTTCAAACAAAACAAACAAAAAACGCAGCCGATTTATAAAGGTTGAAGAAATTGCAGTTCAGAAGATTTTAGAAATTAAGAGACTTTATGTGACGTTGGAAGGATTTTAAGAGAAAAACTCTGGTTGGATTTTAGCCCAAATGAGACGATTTGAAGCAGATTATCAGGAGACTTTGGTTTTTTTTTTTTGTTTTTAGATTGATTCCCCCAACTGTTCATTTAGGGAGGGTTTTATTTGTGCAGTTTAGTTTTCATTTAACACTCCTTCACCTGGGAGAATCACTCACACATCTGTCATTCTTGGATCAAAGCTCCTGTTTACTTACAACCAAAAATAAAAAATCCTCTTAAAGTGTTTAAATAGTGTAAAGTTTAGAACGTGTTGAGAAATGAACCAAAGAGGGGCAAAAAAAAAAAAAAAAGCAAAAAGGATAGAGTTCATTCATGAGGTCATAAACTGGCTGGTTTCAGGGTCCCACTTTTCACCGCAGTGTTTATTGAGAACCAACATTTTCACCAACACTGTGGACGAAAGAAAAAAGAATTATTGAATAAATCGGAGACATTTTAAGACGTTTCTTCAAACTCTGTCAGGTGATCCCAGGACCGTCGCAGAACAACCATTGCAAGAGGTTTTAGATCATTTGCTGGTGTTTGCTCTAGTAAAGCCTGACTCCCCGGTCCTCTGACGGTCAGCGCCTGGCAGAGCAACCCGCAGCCCTACACTTTTCTGCACATTTGCAACAACCTCCATTTGTTGTGTGTGTGTTTGTGGCAGAGCAACATAAAGTAGAGCGTAACAGTGGAGTGGGAGGAAGAGATATTCTGCAAATAATAGATTAATTTGTATTCAGCCTTCTTTTGATCTGAAATTCCTAAGTTGAATAAAATCAAATCAAATAAAATGACGTCCTTTTTTTGCCACTAAATAAAAAGACAGAAGGTTTGGCAAAAAAAATTATTTTAGTACAATGACAAAATGCCATCAGTGGCAGAAAACTACCAGTCCACATGGATCTGAGCGGACCGTTCCTGTTTTGGTGGTGGCAGCGTCATGCTGCGGGGATCCTTTTCCTTGGACAGAGCTCCGGATGTGACGATTCTTCTAAATTCACAGCCACAGCTTCAGTTTTTGTTCTCGGTTTCCAGTTGTTGTTTTTTCTTTTCATTTTTACTTTTGTTTTTCCAGCTTCTTCAGGTTTTCATGCAACAAAATGGTGTAGTCAAAGTCCACGCCTAAATCCGACCCATGGTTTGTGGCAAACTGAGGTTCGTAGATGCTCCCCAGCTCGTCTCACTGAGCTTTGAGCTGCTTTGCAAGGAAGAATTTGGGGGGAAAATATGGTCAATGTCTTACTGCGCAAAGCTACCCTAAAAGAAAGCAATGACTCGAGGCCGAATATTTATGCACGCCACACTTTTCAGATTTGTATTTTAAAGTCTGTTAATTTTTTTTTTTTTTTTGTATAGCTTTACTAGTCACAACACCTTAATGTTTATGGAAATAAATTGACAAAATTTGATAAAAGTGAAATGTGCTGCTCATGCCACACACCTTCTCTTTCTGTGTGTGTGTGTGTGTGTGTGTGTGTGTGTGTGTGTGTTGTGTGTGTGTGTGTGTGTGTGTGTGTGTGTGTGTGTGTGGGTGTGTGTGAGAGAGAGAGAGAAACAGTTTTTTAGAAGAGTGTTTCATGTTGACCAAACAAATGTAGAGCCTTCTCCAGAATGAGGAGGAGACGTGACAGGCTCTGTGCAGAACAACAACAGAAACATATACATGAGGCGAGAACGGACAAAACTAAACCTCTGCACAAATGATGCAGCTTATAGAAAGAAGGGATTGTCATTTCTAATGACAATATATTAGGTTTTGCATTTTGTGCAGAATAAAAGAGTGTGTGTGAGTGTGTGAGAGAGAAGCAGACCTTTGCGTTGTCCTGTATTTTAACCACAGCTGAGGACATGCGTCTTCTTATCTTGTAGCTTATTCTTTGGTTTAACTACGAGGTGTAAGGCAAGTAGTTACTGTTTTAAAGCCTGCGTGTGTGTGTGTGTGGGGGGGGTGTGTGTGTGTTGATTTAAAGAAATACTACACGCAAGTAAAAATATTTCTCCTTTGGTCTTAATTTGTAGAAAGCATTTATTGTCCGTTTGAGTGTGAAAACAGTCTAAGAAGCTCAAAGCGTATCTGAAGACTCCTATGCACACTCTTCATATCTGAATGTATGCATGTGTGTGCGTGCGTGCGTGCGTGCGTGTGTGTGTGTGTGTGTGTGTGTGTGTGTGCATGTTCTTACCAAACTCAGGAGTTATAAATTGTAAAAATAAATAAATAAATAAATTCAAAGCAATTCTGCATTTCCTTCATGTAAATTTTATTTTTGTTTGTTTTAGTTTTACGTATCCAGGGCTTATTGACTTGTATGTTTAGATAACTTGTGAACATACAAGTACGAACTCTCAGCTGTGACAGAATGAGAGTGTGGGCTGAACCTGAGCAGGCTGTGGATGTTCTCAAGTTGAGTTTGTTCTCCTGAACCTTTTGACAATGAACTTACAGTGAGAGAAATCTGCTGACGGAGGATTTATTTAGAGAATCTCACCAGTTTTTTTTCCCCCTCTGATTTTAGTATTTCTTTTTGGCATTAGTGGTCAGAATGGTGCAGAATTGATGCTTCATTGCTTGATGTTTTTTTTTTTTACAAATCTGTCAATAATAAATTTTAAGCAGTGGCTGATTTCTGACAGAAAATGTCCAATCAGACAAAAAGCAGGAAAAATGGGTTTTCCTTTAAAACGAGCAACAACTTTTGCTTGATCTCGTTTTTGCATTTCATGTTTGTTCCTAATCAGACATCTACAGCTGACTGTCTTTAAATGTGCTCAAAAATGTCTCGTCTTTTTCCTGAGGTTTTTATGTCTTTGTTGTACTTTTTTTTGCCATCCGGCGACAGGAAGCGGAAGCTAAACGAGCCGGGGAAGCAAAAAGCAGGAGACGGCTGCTGGGTGAAGGTGGAAGAAGGAGCCAGGAAGTCAAGTCTGAGCGGCCTCCACCCACGTCTGGTCGCAGACAGCCAGGTAAATGGAGGCGACTCCGGGACTGAACGTAAAAATCAGCAAAAAGAATAAAGAAAACATCGACTTTTTTTTTTTTCCCCAACGCAGAATTTGTATACTACAACATTAAGTCTTACTAAATAACTTTGGTCTAGTTTTTCAGTGCAGAAATATTAGCACACTTAAAATAAGACAAAATTATCACAAATAACTTTTCTGCAAGATATAGGAGCTTGTTTTAAGCAAATATCTCCTTCATATTGATGAAAATATTAGCTCATTATTTCTCTGTCTTGTTATAAAATGACCTGGTATAAAGGAATCAGTGTGAAGGAATTGTTGACTTAAAACAAGCTCCTGTATTTTGCTGAAAAGTTACGTGTGAGTTAGTTTCGCCTCATTTCAAGTGGACTAAGATATATAAATATTTTTTTTCTTGCTTTTTCTGGGTCCTCGTTAGCTGCGTTTCCCAGTGTGTACTCTTCTTGGGTTTCACACATTCAACATAAACAAGTACGGATACAGAACATACAGAAGTGACATCAGAAATTCAAAATAACACCAACTACAAGAACAGAAACAAACAAATGCAAATACACCATAGAGGCAAAAAAAACCCAAATCAAAACAAATGAACTCGGTAATAATAAAAAAAATGAAACATTCACTTCATTATATGCATATAAGGAATAAAAACATACACAATCAATGTAACTGTTAGGTACGGTGGAGAGCGTGTGGTGCTGCGGACTTATGTCTCCAAATGATATCATGAACTAGTAGATTGTAAAAGAAAACTTTAATGCAGAATTAATCAGATGCATTCTGGGTATTTTGAATGCAGTTACCTTTACAAAACAAAAAACAAACGCAAGGCGACCGTTTTGATGAAATACTTTGAACGTCTCTGCTTGTTTAAAATCCTGATTTGAAGAGAGCAGAACAATGACTGAATGAACGGAAGCATAGTTTTTATTTTAGTCATACAAATGGAAAACCAGAGATCAGCTTTGGTCGATTTTGATTATTTTTAAAATTTTTTTTTTTTTTTTACATCTCCTGCCCAACAGAGACGTGTAGATTTGTGTCGATAAGCCTGGATCTGGAGAGAGCATGTGGGGGTGGGGGGATGTTTCCAAACCTGTTTCAGTCCAACACAGCCCAGAGAGACTGTTTAGGATCTGAGTGAGCAACATTTCAGAAATCTGTAAATAGTTATCAGAAGAACACAAATGAAGGTACAAATGTCACAAATGAAGGCACTTAGTAAGAAAAATAATCAGCTTTTCTTTTCAGAGTTTCAGCAAAAAAGTTGTCAGGGTGTTTTTTTTTTTTGTTTGTTCTGTTTTAATATTTTGAATATGCATTTTGTGAAGCAGGACAGTCAGTCTGATGAATCCCAGGAAGAGACGCGCTTCCTGTCAGAACGATGCTGGAAACCTCTCAGGAATCCTGCTTTAATTTTTCTTATGCTGTCCTTCATTTTCAAGCTAGTTTAAAAAAAAAAAAAAAGAAAGTAATCAAATAAATACAAAACACGGCCCGACATGATCAAGCTCATAACTTTGACAAGCTGCAAAAATAAAAAAAATTGGTTTAATGTACATTTCTTGAGGAATATCCCACCTGTTCATGGATCAATAAATGTTCAGACTGCTTTAACGTTCAGACGGGTCGACAGACACGTATGTGTCTGTGGGTGTGTGTGCGTGTTTGGTGTATGTGTATGTGTGTGTGTGTGTGGGGGTGTGTGTGTGTGTGTGTGTGTGTGTGTGTGTGTGTCTGTGTGTGAGACGTTTCCACAGAGTCAGTAGGATTCATGTTGGTTGGTTTCCAGCTGCTTTTGTAGGAATTTGCAGACATGTGGCAGTGTGAGAAGGGTGTCCAATATGTGCGTGTGTGTGAGTGTGTGAAAGAGAAAAAGTTGCTTGTACGCCTGGAGATCAGCGTAGAGGCATATTGGGAGCGTTTTCTCCTCAGTGCGTGTGTGTACTCACTGTGTTTATCTCTCTCTGTTTCTTCCAGGATGAGCAACATGGCCTCCGTCTTCCTCGTGCTGAGCAGCCACACACTCAGGCTGGACACGCACACACAGGACAGGTGTGTATCTGCTGCTTTTCACGGTCAGGTCATGTTAAAGACAACATGCGGGAACTCTTGGCCGAATGTGTGAATTTTCAACACTTTACAGATAAATAAGAGAAATAAGAAAGTCAGCTTTTGCTGGAGTGCTGATTTAAATCGGACAGGAACACAGAAGTTGGTCATATGTTGTTTTTCTATACACTAACAAAGACGGTTAAATGTCTCACCTCCTTTGTGTTTTCACTCCTGTGAATTTCTGTAATGTTTTTAATTGTTAAAATCTGAGAACTAGAAGTGCACAAAGTGACTAGAAGCAATCAGGTCCAAACCTTATTACAGAAATTTGTTAGACAATCAGAGGTAAAGATGAACCTACAGGCATTTGGTTGTTACTTCTTTTACAAGACAAACCCAAACTAACAACGTCTGAGCTCTGCTGCGGCTATGTGTGTGTGTGTGTGTGTGTGTGTGTGTGTGTGTGTGTGTGTGTGTGTGTGTGTGTGTGTGTGTGTGTGTGTGTGTGTGTGTGTGTGTGTGTGTGTGTGTGTGTGTGAGGGTCCGCAGTTCTCTGCATGTCTCTGTCGAATAAATCGTTGAATTGATCGGATGTAAATCAGAACACGTGATATTTGAGTTTCTAGTCGTTTGTTGTGTCTTTCTCTGAGGTTGTTCAGACGACGTCCAGCTTTTCAGGGTTCAGGCAATAAAGTTCAGACTCCTGTCCGCTCCCTAAGGAGCTGACTGTGTGTCGTGTTGTTGTGCTGTAGATTTAATCTGAACGTATGCAGGTGTGTGACGCATGTTGAACCTGGAGTTTGCCGTGCGTAAATCACGCAGCGGGAGCAACGCGCTCCTGGCAGAGTTTTGGAAACTCCTGTCCAGGTCAGAAGAGAAAAGGAAAGAAAAACAAAACCTTCTCACGCAGGTTTCAACGTCTCGGATCAGCTCTGTAATTTCTCTTTAATTTATGCCGGCAGAACTGTAAAAGGGAGAACTGGGCGACGAGGGAGAGACTTTTCCCGTGACAAATTCAGCTTTTAAAATCTGTTGATCGTTGTGTGCTTTACCGCCCAGCGGCAGCGGAAAAGCACAAAAGAAACGCCGCACGACAGACACACCGTCTGCACTGAAAAATGAGAAGGGAGGCTTCATAGCTGCGCTGTCCTTCCACAAGGCGCGTTTTCAGCACCACGGAGCTGGACGGCAACACAAAGAGCCGGAGAGTCGGTCATGAAAATATCACGTTTGAAACTTTAATGCGAATCTGTCCACAAAAACGCCTCGTTTATTTTGTGGCTATTTTTTAAAAAGAGAAGAAGAAGAAAAAAATGGGCTGAAAAATGTTTTGTCTGCGTGTAGAAATGATAGAATGAGGAGTGTGAGAGAGGAGAACTGATGTAATTAAATCTAAACTATATGCCACGCAGTCACTAAGGGACGTAGGAGACTCTGAAGTGAGAATGTGAGAGGACCCAAGACCCTGCGGGGCCCGGGAGAGGCCCCGGTATCTGTTGTCAGCGCGGACAGGGTGATTTGGTGTGTGTGTGTGTGTGTGTGTGTGTGTGTGTGTGTGTGTGTGTGTGTGTGTGTGTGTGTGTGTGTAAGAGAGAGAGAGAGGGGCGGGGGGTCAGCGTGGATACTGTGGTAAAGACAGGGGGACAAAAACTCAACCAAAGCTTTCAATTTAAAGACGATTGTGGTGTGTGTGCGTGTGTGTGTGTGTGTGAGTGTGTTTTTGAGTGTGTTCTTGCTGCAATCGATACCACGGGGGGAGTGGGCTTTACGTGAATGAAGGAAGATAAAGCGTTGCCTCATGAAGCAGTGTGAGTTGTGATTTTGTTCATAGATTTAAATTCCTCTCAGCGATTGGTGTTTTAATCATAAAAAGTGTCCGAGCTGCCTGTGAAGTTGCACCGTCGGTTTTCTGTGTGTTTGCAGCTGTTCCACATTCCCACTAAAGAGATGTGGAGGAAAACAAAGTTTGAAGATTGCTCCGTCTTTTATTACAGCAGTACATTTACTTAAAGGGGAGGAGATGAGGGATAAGCCATGTCAGGAGATGATTGTTTTTATTTAAAATAAAAATAGTGTCCAGTTGCCCGTTTCGTGTGCAGAATTGCGCTTTCATTCCCTGCTTGAACAAAAAGCCAGTGTTGAGCCACTTTAGGTCTCTCCGCTGCTGCTCCAGTTCAGCGCAGCTGCGATCGTTTCATCAAGCGTGTTCGATTTCGGCCGTTAACGTGCGTCTTGTCACGTTTAGTTGATTTGTGGCGTTCATTTTTAATGCGGGGGAGACTAATGTTTTCTTGTCTTTCCCATTTTGAGGAGCTACCAGGAGAAACGCTGCTGATGAGCAGTTTGAACCTGCTTGAACACGTTTGGGGAGAAAAACAAAAAATCTAAAGTTATATTTATATTGAAGGTATTTAGTGCAGCAGTAATTGTGCCACAAATGATTTGGCTTAAAAGAAATAGAAATTAGAAATTTTTGTATAGGCTTCATTAAATTAATTTTTCCTAAAAAAACAAAACAAAAAAAATCATATCATTTATTTTAAGTCTTTTAATTAGGTGCATAAATCTCTATATGTCATTAGAGCATTATGAAAAGCTAAATGTGTTCTTGTCTCTTTGCAGCTGTGTGGATCATGACAGTGATCCAAAGGTGGACTCCCCTCAAGTCTAACTGTGTGTGTGTGTGTGTGTGTGTGTGTGTGTGTGTGTGTGTGTGTGTGTGTGTGTGTGAATATTAAAGTGTAAAATGAAAGATGATGATGGGATGTATTTAAAAACAGCTTGATGCCCTTTTATTTTTGCTGGTGCAACAATAATCACACTGTATATTATTGCATCGTGTTAAATTGATGATATAATGTCAACATTTTCACATCTTTCTTTAAACTTGTAAGATTTGTTTTCCTTTAAAAAACAAAAAAAAATACTGTACAACTGTGTCCCATGATTTCTGCATTTTTAAACATGACATTTGTGCGAATATGTATTTTTATGTTGTTGCTGCTGCTGCTGCTGTTGCAGTGACAGAGACATTTTGTTCCCACTGCGTTTGACTGAACGTGTTATAAAACTGTTACACAACTCGCGTCTCCTTCCTCTCGGATCCCGGAGCTTTGTGTCCAATTTTGCGAACAGCAGCGCGATCCCTTTCCGGATTCGGACCCATTTTCATACTCTCGCCCCTGTGCAGAGTACACGACAGGCTTCGCCTTCTGCCCCGGAGCCTCGGTCTGCCTGCATTTCGTGTTCGGTTTGCCCCGCGTGGATGGACGGATGGATGGATGGGGGAGGAAGAGGGGAGATGGTGATGAGAGGGGGGGCATGGCGGCTTGCATGGAGAGAGAGAGAGAGAGAGAGAGAGAGAGAGAGAGAGAGAGAGAGAGAGAGAGATTCGTCTCCTGAAAAATAAAAAAATAACAACAAAATGGTGACAGCTGTTCGTGGATCGTGCATTCCCTGTAAACAAACGTGTGTGGAAATTTTTAAAAGTACTGTGAAATAAAAGCGATGGAAATTTAGAAGCGTGTCTGAATGTTTATGTAACTCCCGCACACACACACACACACATTGCACCTCTATGTTTTGGATGGGAGAACTACATACTTAGCGGGTGATCTCGCGAGAGTTCGGGTGGACGTTCCAGCTGGGGTTTGTAGTTTTTTTGTTTTGTTTTTTAAATCTGCTGTTATATCTTATAGTTGCAGCTTTGGCCGGATCTGATCGGTGAATTCAGGATATTCACCTGTTTCTTTCTTTCTTTTTTTTTGTGGTCATCAGCAGCGCGATGCAGACTGAATGCCCAAAATAGTGCAGTGAGTCACGCTGAGCTGACCTCACAGACTGGCGTCACTTCAGCCAATGGGGAGCCTTCAAACCGTCTCCGTCGGGCGGGAGGCGCGCGCACATTCCTCACCAATGAGAGCACCGTTTCATTCATAAAGTGGTATGGGCAGTGTCTTTGTTTTTTTTTATACAGAAAGCGTGGGTTCGGAGGGTTTCATAATTCTCACTGAAACCGCCCAACCCAACCTGTGTCGCGTCGGGAGCCAATCACCGGCTCCGGCTGGGACGCTGCCGTAATGCTCCTCCAATCACAGCGCCGCTCCGGCTTCCGAATCGAACCCACCTCTTCTTCTTTTTTTTTTCTTTTTTTTTTGAGGAGGTGCGGGGGGGAATATTTGCTCTCATACAGAAAAACCTAATGAATGAGGGAAAGCTCCGGAGATGATTGAGGTGGAGAACCAGCCAATGAGGTGAGGCGGCCCGGTAGAGGGACGCCTGCCGCGGCCGGTGAGGAGCGGAGGTGGGCGTGGCTTCCCCAAATCAGGCTAGACAAGTGTTGGAGGAGTGGGGAGGAGGGAGAGAGGTAGGAGTGTATGTGTGTGTGTATGTGTGTGTGTGTGATGCTACAACCTCCTTATAAAGGGACTCTCTCACGTTGTGGCTTGGATACTAGAGCACATTGCCTAAAAATTGAGGTCTCCAGTATTACGCACACACACACACACACACACACTACACACACACAAGCCGGAGTCACCGAGAAGCCGCTGCCATGAACCGGGATGGGATGATGAGCCGGGCCGAGACGCCTCTCTTCTGGGTCGGCGCGTTCACCGTGGCCTGCCTGGCGCTGTGGCTGCTCTACAGGCTGCTCACCGGCTTCAGGATATGGATCCTGGGGAACGGGCAGCTCCTAACCCCAAGGCTGGGGAAATGGGCAGGTGAGTCGGATTTCAGCAATCATCGCCTCTCCCTTCCACCTGCAGTCACACGGCGGACACACAAAACGCCCACCAGAAAGTGGAAGGTACAAACTTCACTTTGCCCCCCCACACATCCCCGTGAAAAGCCGCGTCCTGATTGTCGGAGGGGTGAGGAGGGGAAGGTTATGTGAGGTTTGGCTGGCTGACTTCAAGGAGGGTTTGAGTTGCGTAACAGGCGCAGGTGAGCTGTTAATTGACTGACGGGATTTTGGGGTTTTATTTGCTCCACTTTGCGGGAACAAAAAAAAGAAAAGAAAAAAAAGCCCCATTTGGCTTCAATTGGCTCCCAATCAACCCACAAATGGAGCGGAGTGGAGTGGAAAGTGATGTGTGTGTGTGTGTGTTGGGTGGGGGGGGTAGAGAACGGGTGCACCATATTGGTGAGCCAAAATTGCGCAGGCTATGCGCACTTTTCAGTGTGGGGGTCAGCTCCCAACCTTTTTTATTTTTTAATAATAATGAATAAACACTCAGCCACAGACTGCGAGACGCATCCAGCTGCCTGGAAGTTTAAAAAACCGCGAACCACGTTTGGAGAGTTTCCGACGCTTTTGATTGACTCGTGTCACATTGAAGTTGTCGGTCGCGTCTTCAGTCCCTCGTCGTCTTGGAGTCGCTTTGATGGAACTGAACTGGAGGTCTGGATCCTCTTCTGTTCCACTGGGAGCAGAAGGTGTCGCCCCGTTTTGGGTTTGACCCGCTTCTCCAGCCTGGTGAAGACTGCTGCGCAATTAAAAAAAAAAGTATTTCATTTTGTTTTTATTTATTTTGTTGGTTGATGATGATGTTGCTATTTTGTTGGTTTCATCCAAGCGGAACCTGCTGGTTTGGGATCACCGTCCATTCTGACGCAATTATTCTCCGAACTCCTCTAAAAATATTGTCCATATGATTTTTAATTGCCTCTATAAGGGGGGAGATAAATTTTTGCCCCTTCAGGAATGACTAATCCACTCCACCCCCACCCCCTTGGTGGCTCTGACGGAGTATGCGGAGGAATGCCGCTGCACTGATGAATCATGCTTGTTCATCGTCATCAATTGGGTCTAGATTCTGATCACCCCCACCTCACCCCACCCCACCCTCCTCCACCCGTTTCTCCTCTCCACCCAGAGAAGGAAGCCATTTATATTCAGACATGACACTAACTTCTCACAAAAAGGTTTCTGCGCTGCGCAACAAGAAGTGACTCATTATGCGTATTAATTGCGATCCTCCTGCAGAGCCCCCCCCCCCCCCTGACCCACTGCTCTTCTTCTTTTATTCGTTTTTTTTTTGGTTTGTTTTTGCGAATCGAGCATGACTCAGGGGTCTGGCCCCTTCAGCCGCAGTGGAGATTTACCTTCATCCTAACTTTTCCACGCACGTCCTTTTACGTAACTTGTGAAGTTTGCATGCCACTCCCTGAAACCAATGGCCGCCACCAGTCTGACGAGTCTGACGTTCGTCGTCGATCGCAAAAAGGATGGCTCTCTGGGGATGAACGGGTGTGTGTGTGTGTGTGTGAGTGTGTGTGTGTACGTTGTGCGCCATGGATGAGCTGTTCTCCTCAGCAGGTTGGACCTGATGCGCCTGTGCAGCCAGTTCAGCAGGCGGTGGTGATTTCTGTATTTCTTTTTCCTAAAAGCAACTGAGGGATGGGGGAGGGGAGTGACTCGGCAACTTTAAGTTTCAATCTGAGTTACTTTTATTGCTCTTTATTATTATTATTTTAGTAGTTTTCCCTTAATTTAATGAGACAACAGTTTAAAGTCCTGATCAGCTTCGCATTGCCTCTAAAAACTCTTAATTTGGGGGCCTATTTAAAGTAAATTCCCCATTGATCTGATTACGAAATGATGAAACTGAAAGAAAACCAGCAGTGCTTATCAAACTGTCCACTTCTTCTAGGATCACACAGAAGTGTGTGTATGTGTCCTGTTGAGTTTTGGTCTTGTGGCCAGAGCCGACCCAAGAAATTATGAGGCCCCAAGCGGAGTGAGTTGGGGGGGCGGGGGTTGCAACTTCCGGTTTAGCCCATAGCCACCACAGCTCAGCTTACCTTGGTTTTTTTATACTGATCATTTATACTTGTGAAGTATAAATGATCAGATATAAATGACCCATTAATATTCACAGATGCATGTCAAACTTAAGGACCGCCGGCCAAATTGACTAACAAATTGTGCTTAAATATTTGTAGGTCAAATCAGTTTTTATTTATATAATATCAAGTTGTGTGAAAGTGAAACGGTGCTAAATAATTGCTGTAATTCTTCAAAGTACTCGTGGAATGCAGACGGCTGTATTTCAGCAACATAATGAATGGCTTTCATAATGGACTCTGAGCTGCATGTCGCCCCGAATGAGTTTGTCCGCTTTAAGGGACGACTCTGTCTGCAGCCGTCCGGGTGTGGAGGGTCTTTTTAATCACTGCGGCCCAAAGACGGTGATTTGACCGCGTGTCACCATCCAAATTTGTGCCCTCCCCCCAAAAAAAACACAGTTTGTGCCAGAAGCAGTTTTTGGCACAAAGCAACTATGGTAGCGAAATCCACCTTGTACGTCAGAACATTTGCTGATGAGGTTGTGAATTGTGATCAAAATCAATCATCAGCAACAAATTATTTCATTTCGTCGAGGTGAGGAGGGAGCAAAAAAAAAAAAAGTTGCTTGTTTTGATTTCAAGCTAGAAAGAAGAAAAAAAAATCTTGCTGACTTGGCTGATTACCTGGTAGTTATGGTAACTGTCGTTTTCTGGTTGGACAGGTTTGAGTCCAACGAGGAATGCTTTCTGATAAAGGTGGTTTGTTTGTAGTTTTTTTTTTTTTTTAACAGAGATGGGTTTTGTGCGTTTGAGAAACAGAGTGGTAAAATAAATCCGTTGCTGCGCCGTGCGTGTGTGTGGGTGCGTGGATGATTCTCCACAGCTCCTCAGGGATTCCACAGGAATTTCTATACAGATGACTGGGACGCCTAGTGGCACAATAGGAGCATTGCAGCATAAATTAAAACAGTTTCCTCTGCTTCTTCAACACAGGCTGTGGTTTCATCACTGATGGAGCCACAAGCTCTCAACCCCCCCATTTATTACAATGGGGGGGTTGTTTTTTGTTTTTGTAATCCACTTGATTACAAAAACAAAACGGACTGCGTCTTCTTGATAAGAAGATAAGCTTTTCAAAAATAACAGCGGTGCACTTGTTCTTATGGACAAGTGCAATAATTATGCAAGTGAGGTCAAAAGCCGCTTCAGTAACAGACCCAAAAACCTCACATGTAATTGAATTACATGTTGAAATAAGTCATTCAAAATGCAAACTTGCAAGAGGAACTTGATCGCTAAATCCTTTTGTATGAGAGTTTTTGACCTGTAAATTATCATTATGTAGTTTTTTTGTACACTTCTTTTAATCATAATAAACTTAAATCATAACAAAGATGAACTTGATTTATCCTGAAGATCTGAACGATTTTATCTGAATTTAGGCTTCCACACAAGTATAGCCCCCCCTCAGCTCCCTTTTCCCCCAGATTCACTTTGCAAAAATGAAAATATTACCAAGCTATTAAAACAGTTTTTGTTTTGTTTTTTCCAAAAATAACTTTTGCATCTTTCCATTCTGATTTGCAGGACTCCTTGGCCCCCTCTCCTCCCTCCTCCAGTATATGACTCCAGTTTGCCATATTATGCAACGGAGCAGTGGTCTCTGCTCTGCTACCTGCTTGTAAAAAAAAAATAAAATAAATCATTACAGGGGGAAATAAATTT